TGAATGTAATTAATAGGAAAAATTTGAACTATTTAATGTTAGAATAGGACAAATTTTGAAATATTGAATGAGATTACAAGACATAGGATAAAAGTTGAGATATTTAATGTTATAATTAATAGGGTAATTTTTGAAATATTCAGTGGTATTAATAGGATAACATTTGAAGTATTGAATGGAATTAGTAGGAAAAATTTTAACTATTTAATGTTAGACTAGGACAAATTTTGAAATGTTGAATGATACTACTACTAGACATAGGATAAAAGGTGAGCTATTTAATGTTATAATTAAGAGGGTAAATTTTGGGATATATGATAATACCATTACTAGACAGGATAAAATTTGAAATATTTAAAGTTATAATTAAGAGGGTAAATGTTGAGATATTTAATGATACAATTACTAGACATATGACAAAATTTGAAATAATGTAACTAATAGGATGAGTTTTGAAATATTTAATGACATTATTAGCAGACTTAGGATAAAACTGGAAATAATGATACAATTAATAGACTGAGGATGGGCAGCTGGACTTGCCTTAAGACAAAATTGTCCCTTCAGAGGCTCTTTCTGCCCAGGAATAAGGATTGGTTTTAATAACAAGCCCTGTCTAGAGACCCTTTAGACTGGACTTATCTCCTCAGGCTATACTGGGAGATGCTGTGCCAATACAAAGGCAATTAATTAAGGTTTTTTAATTAGCTTTTATTAAACCAACAAGCTTTTAACATCTACTCCCTCTGCTCACTAATATTTATCACAGTTCAGTCCACCCACATTCAGTCCCCCAGGTGTGTTATATCCCAGTATTTGGGAGGGAAATAGGGCTGGGTCCCTTCTATTCTGTATTTGCTCAGTTTTTGAGGTTTATTCTGTATTTACTCGATTTTTGAGGTCTCTGAGGAGAGAGAGGAGGCAGAAAATACTCACTTTCATCATCTCATCAAGACTTGCCAGCACTTTGTGATCGTGGAAGTTGTTGAGCTCTGCCCTGTAGGCACTCAGATCCTCATAGATGCCCTGCAGGCATTTACTCTGGGAAAGGTAGAACGATCAGGAAGTGTGGGAATCTGCTGTTAAATCCACAGTGAGCCAAAAAAAAAAAGGGATTCTTATGGGAAATTTGCAATTTACCTTATCAAAAGTTGATCCTTCCAGTGCTGGACAGTTCCCAGTCTGCAAATTAAAGCAGAAATGAGTGTGAATTATGTGCCTGTGCCATGAAAATATTGGCTGAAACTTTAAATTTTTATATACATATATATATATATATATATGTATTTTACCTCTAGACCTCTAGATGTGCAAGCTTTTATTGTGTTTGTTTGGTTCTTAGTGATATCTTCAGGATCAACCTCTTCAAGGGTACATTCAAATCCCAGGATGTCGAGTTCCTGTGTGAAAAAGTGAACAAAAAAGGGTCATTGACTCAGTTTCATGGTATAGTATATATATATGTGTATATTTATGTACATATATGTATAAAAATATAAATTTACATATATATATATATATATATATATGCAAATGCAAAAATATGGGATGGATCCCAGCTTAGCTGAATCCTAGGGATGAGGCTGTGTGAGGACTCTGGTTAAATATGAAAGGTAGAAAATAGACTGGGAATAAGCTCAGAGCTTTGCACAGCTTTGGTTTATGTGTTGTTGGGAATTGCTCTGCCTCTTCTGCTTTAAATTATTCTCTCAGATGTTGAATCCATGGAGAACTTTATGTCATTTTAGTTTCAAAGGTAAAGGATCTCTTAGAAAGTGAAAAATAGCCAATCCCATCCTCGCAGATGTGTAATGGGGTGGGGAACAGCCCCATTTAGTGCTGGGGGTTTTTGTGGTTCCCTGAGGTGGAAACTGCAGAGATAGCAGGGAATTGTAGCAAAAAGGAAAGGCTGCTGAGCAAACCCCCATCCTGAAGGGCTGAGCAGGGCAGGCGTGAAACCAGAGGTCCTAAAGGGAGGCTGCAGGGAACATCCCCCCTCCTGGGGACCCTCAGTGGCCCCTCAGTGCCCAGCTGGGCACCTTCACCTGCCTGGGCACCACCATAGTCCATCACTGTCCTCCTGGGTACCACCACTGCCCCATCATTGTCCTGGGTACCACTACTGCCCCAAACTGCCCTCCTGGGCACCTTCACCAACCCATCACTGTCCTGGGTACCACTACTGCCCCATCACTGTCCTGGGTACCACCAATGCCCCAAACTGCCCTCCTGGGTACCGCCACTGTCCCATCACTGCCCTCCTGGGCACCATCACTGTCCTGGGCACCACCACTACCCCATCACTGCTCTCCTGGGTACCTTCACCAACCCATCACTGTCCTGGGTACCACTACTGCCCCAAACTGCCCTCCTGGGCACCACCAATACCCCATCATTGTCCTGGGCACCACCATTGCCCCATCCCTGTCCTGGGTACCACCACTGCCCCAAACTGCCCTCCTGGGTACCTTCACCGACCCATCACTGCCTGTCTGGATACCACCACTATCCCATTGCTGCCCTCCTGGATACTGTCACCAACCCATCGCTGCCCTCCCGGGTACCACCACTACCCCCCCCCCCACCTCCTTGGGTACCACCCCATCACCCCCCACCCATCTCCCGTCCCCATCCTGCCCATCCCGCTCCCCGCCGGGCCCCTGTCAGACCTTCAGCCTTTGGAGGGAGGTGTCGGCGGCCTCCAGCAGCTCCCTGGAGCGGTTCAGCGCCGCGGGGGTGAGCAGTGCCCGGGATGGGGTGGGCAGTGCCCGGGATGGGGTGGGCAGTGCCCGGGATGGGGTGGGCAGTGCCCGGGATGGGGGCAGCGGGAGCAGCGCCAGGAGCAGGCAGAGCGCGGGCAGCAGTGCCCCCCGCGGGCCGCCAGGCGGCGCTGCCCGCCCGCTCCCGGTATTCCCGGTGATCCCGATGATCCCGATGATCCCGGTGATGCCGGAGCCGCTCCCGGTGCTGCCGCTCCGCTCCATCCCGCTGCTGTCGAAGCGGCCCGGGCCCGGCTCTTATAGGGGCTCCGGAGCGGGAGTTCCCCCTGCGCTCCTCCCTCCCCCCGGCCCGGGGGCAGCCGCGACTCATCCCGAGAGCGGCGGGGCCGGGAATCCCGCCCGGCGGGGGGTGGCGGGGATCCCGCGCTGAGCCCGGCCGGGGGTGCTGCGGGGCAGCGCTGGAGCTCCTGCCCTCGGGACTGTGCCCTTGGAGCACAGGACTGACCGAAAAATAGGGCTGGGCTGTGGGACGTGGATAAGCTTTTCATGGAATCACGGGATCATTGAATCGCAGACTGATTCGGGTTGGAAGGGACCTTAGAGACCTTAGAGACCATGTCATTCCACCCCCTGCCATGGGCAGGGACACCTTCCACCAGCCCAGTTTGCTCCAAGCCCTGTCCAACCTGGCCTTGGACACTTCCAGGGATCCAGGAGCAGCCACAGCTTCTCTGGGCAACCTGTGCCAGGGCCTCCCCACCCTCCCAGCCAAGAATTCCTTCCCAATATCCCATCTAACCCTCCTCTTGCCATTCCCCCTTGTCCTGTCACTCTATGCTCCAGTAAATAGTCTCCCTCCAAGCTTTTCCATTTCTATTCTTTATTTTAGTTTCTCCCCCCAAGGAACAAGCAACAGGACAAGAGGGAACAGCCTCAAGTGGCACCAGAGGAGGTTTAGATTGGATATTAGGGGAAATTCCTTCATGGAAAGGGTGACCAAGTACTGGGACAGGGTGCCCAGGGCAGTGATGGAGTCCCCATCCCTGGAGGGGTTTAAAAACTGTGTGGATGTGGCACTCGGGGACGGGGGTCAGTGGTGGGATTGGCAGTGCTGGGGACGATTGCTCTTAGAGCTCTTTTCCAGCCTGAATGATTCCAGGATTCTCTGATTCAAAAATGATGAGATCTCATTGATGAATACTTGTGAGAACCTGCTTGAGGAGTCGATTTTGCTGCTCTACTCAGGATAAACCCCAAATATTTCCCCATCAGCTCTCACTGCACGTGGTCATCCTTAGCTGGGCCAAAAGGCTGAACAAAGCTCTTGGTGTGCTGTGAAGTCACTGGGATTTTTGCTGTCAAGTGTGAAGGGAGCAGGATGAATCAAGAGTTTGATACTGCATTTTCAGATTGTTTTTATTTTAATTGGCAGCTTGTTTCCTATAAGAAGGCTGTGGTGTGCCCAGACACTCGCTGTGCTCCCAGAGCTGCATCATTTTCCAATTTCTCGCTGTGTTTTCCACTTCTGCTCCAGTCATTCCTCTGTGGGCTGTGCTTTTCAGCCTGTGTAGGAGACAAAAGTCTTCTCTGACCCAAAAGTGAAAGAGAAGTTCAGGATGTGCTCACAGGGGTGTTCTTGAAAAGGCATCACTTCGGCTTTCCAGGTTTCTTTCCTGGATGTTCTGTCACGGCATTCACAGAAGCACACGAGGTTTCCCATCAGGTGGGGCACTGAGGCATAATTTGGGCAACAGTTTCTTTTCCATGGTGTTCCTGTGCTGCACTTCAGCCTGTGCTGCGATTTTAGAGGGAGTTCTTTGTCCAAAAGGGGCAATATTTACCTCAAATGCCTTCTGAGGTCTCTGAGTGCCAGGAATGTCCCATTGTTCCAAGTGTTTCCAAAGCAGGGGAGCTTTCCTGGCCACTGGTCCCTCAGCCTGAGAGTTGGGTAATGTGTTGCTGAGACATGGGGTGGGTTTAATTCGCTGAGAAATTGGAATATATATCTTTTATATATATCCTATAATCCTTGCTGTGGCTGCCCCATCCCTGGAAGTGTTCCAGGCTGGGTTGGATGGGGCTTGGAGCAACCTGGGCTAGTGGAAGGTGTCCCTGCCCATGGCAGAGGGTGGCACTGGATGAAGTTTAAGGACCTTTCCAAGCCAAACCATTCCATAATTTTATGATTCTATGATATAAACACAAAGGAACATCAAAGCCAGACCCATAGATCCAGAATTATTCCCATTCCATTAGAGCATTGCTTCTCACTCCATCCTTGCCCCAAGCAGAGAAGACAGACACAGAACTGCTCAAAGAGTGTCGTATTTTAATATAATATATCATAATATTCAAAACATTAGCTTATTCTAATATAATTATTATAAAAAGTAATTATCAAGATGCTTCATTCATGCTCAGGGCTGGTCAAAGAGAGGATTCTTTGAGATGAAGGAGGAGATTTCAGAGGGATTTCTTCTCTTATCGGGGAAAAAAAATTCACTCATCAGAATTAGAATCACAGAATCTCGGAATGGTTTGGATTAGAAGAGACCTCACAGCTTCTCTGGGCAACCTGGACCAGTGCCTCACTAATATAATATATATAATATATATAATATATATAATATATATAATATATATAATTAATAGCTATAATAACTATAATAGCTATAATAGATATAATAGATGTGTATTATATATTTATGGATATATAGGTTTTTATATACATATACACAGATTTTTATATACATATAAATGCAGATTTATATATATAATATAAATAAAAATAAATATAATATCTACAGATTGCCATGTAATGTTAATATTATCTCGAGGAATTAGATGTAATATTGTGTCTTGATCTCAGGTGCCTGATCTCATCAGGCAAATGAAGGATTATAAAGGTGGAGGGATGAATTTATTATTAAAGCAAGAAAGACAGGTTTGTATCATCTGCTTATTTAGAGATACTGTGCAGTAATTGCATACTATTAAAGCAGTTAGAAGATGTCTTATTTCACATGAGAAAATGTAATTCCACTGGCTTCATTTCAATTTTAAAGAACAATTTCAATTTTAAAACGGTTTTTTGCTGATACCACACCCAGAGAAAAATAAGAACCATATCTGGTCTTGCTGTTAAACTGCATTTTGACTCTGTTGTCATCAAAATTAGGGGAAACCCTGCTCCTGGCTCTGTTGCCCTTGAGCAAATCAATACTTCAAAATCCTGCTTGAAAAAGAAAGGGAAAACAGAAATAAGAAAGAAACCCCTTTAGAAAAAAACCCGAACTCCAGGAGCTGAGCTCAGTTGGGTTTTGAGGGCTGTACAGGCAAGTGCTGAGAAATAGGATCTGCTCCAGCCACACTCTTCTAAAAAACAGGGAGGTTCCTGGAAATTGGGGCTGGCCCTTTGTTTCAGTCTTGGCTTGGCTCCTCTCCCCTCTAATAAATACAAATCTCATTTTTGCCTTCGTGTTCCTCTCCAAGACCGAGGTAAATGAAGACCATCTACACACAATCTACAATTTCTATGAGGAAAATGATGTTTAGGGATATTTCCCACCTGGATCTCGTCATTTGTGCTGTAATATATAAAATTGAGTTTTCCCCATGAACAAGCCAGACACCAAATCCTCTGTGAAGGTCATGTAGTAACAAATATTTAATGGGAAGAGTTTGGTTATTTGTAGGGGAGTCTTATTTCCTGTGATTATAATTAGGCAATATTTTAGTGTGTATAATTATGGAATAATTATATACATATAGAAATTAAAGCTGCAGAAAGATTAAATCCCAGCTCAGCTGACAGTTAACTAGTTGCTACATAAAAAGAATTTAAAAATATTGTGTGGAATAGGATTTCTGGATTTATTATTCAACAAATTAATTTTTACACTATTTGCCACTCTCAGAACACGTGGAATATTGAATCATACTTTTGCTACTGGCTGATTTTTTTGGAAGACCCAGGGTCAGATTTATCACCAAAAACAGCCTCCCTGACAGAATTGTTGTCTCTGGTTTGGGTTGGGAGCTGATGGCTCCATAAAATTGGAGAGTGAAGACTTGAAAGGAACTTTCCTGGTGTTTTTTTTTGGGTCTTGGTGCTTATTCATCGTGGAATCCCCTGAAACACATCATCCCAAACAGCTGCTTGTGCTGAGATTTCATCAGTGTGGGATCAAATGGTGCTTCTGAAGCTTTCCTGCCCTGGTAGTTGGGTGCTGGAACCTGTAAAATCCTGGGACAATCACCTGCATGTCTTGGCTCTTCTCTCTTCCAGGTGCTGCTGGAATTCCCACAGTTTTCCAAGTGGTCCCACCATGTCCTGCAGCATCTCTGCTCTCCACTGCTGGGCCCTGGAATTGGCTTCCTGATGGCAACCTGGCAGCTCTGTGTCCTTGAGGGATCATCCAGATGCAGAGGATGTTATTTACAGGCTCTGCTCCAAAGCTTGAATCCACTCTCTGAGGTAGAACCGTTCTTGGGAAAGGGATGGAGCGGGTGAGTACCACTGGATAGGGGTTGTGGCTCCCTAAAAAGCACACAGGTATTGGGATGGGCGTGTTTTGGGCAGGAAACATCTCCCACTGAGATGGGAGGAGTAGATACTGGGGAGAAATTCTTCCCTGGGAGGGTGGGGAGGTCCTGGAGCAGGTTTTCCAGAGGAACTGTGGCTGCCCCATCCAGGTTGGAGCAACCTGGTCTAGAGGAAGATGTCCCTGCCCATGGCAGAGGGTGGCACTGGATGAGCTGTAAGATCTCTTCCAACCCAAACCATTCCATGACTCTATGACTCCATAGGGGTAAAACTCTCCATCAGCCGTGTGGGGTTTGTTTCCAAGTTTCATGGCATTAATAGAAATAAAAAGTTCCTTGAGGACCATCATGGGCTGGATGGAGCTTCAGTGGGTACCATGGGCGGGGGCACCATGGGCATCCCCCGCTCCTGCAGCAGAGCAGGGGTGGTGATGCCTCCTCTTCCCATCACCCCAGGATTTTGGGAACCCCTGAGCTCACCCTTCAGCTGTGTCTTCTCCTGCCCATCACCCCAGGACTTACCATCTGCAAATTTGCAGATGACACTAAGCTGGGGGGGAGTGTGGATCAGCTGGAAGGCAGGAGGGCTCTGCAGAGGGACCTGAACAGGTTGGAGAGTTGGGCTGATTCCAAGGGGATGAGGTTCCACCAGGCCAAGGGCCGGGTCCTGCCCTTTGGCCACAACAACCCCCGGCAGCTCCAGGCTGGGCCAGAGGGGC